AAGCAAATCAGTTGGTGCACACCCATTTCTCTTATTTCAGTAGGCATCAGGAATGCCTTTAATAGGTGTTTCAACCTTTTATGGGCTATCGCCGGACATTCCAGCCATATGTGCTCAGCTGATTCTGTTTCGTAGAGACAGAATCTGCACTGATCTGTCTGTCTAAGTCCTATTGTCTTGAGGTACTTCCTTACATAGCCATGCCCTGTAAGTAGACCTATCAGGAGGCTTATTTCTTCTTTCTTTTTGGAGGTCGAAGATGTTTCTCCATTCCTTACTAAGAGGATTGATTAGCATCTTTGATTGTCTCAGGCCTGGGGTATTTTCCCAAATCTTTTCTTGTTGTCCCTTTGCCCAGGCTTAAGATTTTTGATTCGCCCTTGCTCACTGGGACTCCGCAGCATGGTTCAGGCCCAATGAGTTTGGATTTTGCCCCTCGCCCGCCAGGACGTCAGCCCTTTCGTTGCCTTCGTGCCCAGCGTGACCTGGGATCCATGCAAGTTGGATTCTGTTGTGTTCGCTCAGGGCCTTGAGGGTGTTCCTGCAGCTCTGCACAACTTTAGATTCCACCACGCAGGCGTCAATTGCTTTGAGAGCAGCTTGGCTGTCAGAGAGGATAAGCACCCCTCTCCTCTTCAGGCCTTTATCCAGCTGCAGTCTCGCACAATGCTCTATTGCCATGACTTCCGCCTGGAAGACAGTGGGCGTTTCGCCGAGGGCCTTTGAGAGGTAGGTTCTAATCCCATACACTCCAAGTTGGAGTTCTACTGTATTTTGTTTTTTAATAATTTGACACAATTTTTTCTCCAGCTGTCCCTTATTTTGATCTTGTTTTTGTAAATTTCCAGAGATCCATCCCAATTTTCTGGTTTTTCATGAACTAAACTTAAATCCATATCTACATGAACCATGATGGAATAGTAAAACTAACCACTTGGACACTGTGCTAAAATCTAGTGAACACAACCACCACCCTTGAGGGTTGAACTTGAATGAGGAATGGGGGCAGTGGCAGGTTTGGCTGTTTCGCCGGCATGTGTGTTCATCTTCATAAAGCACAATGTCCCGGTACCCACTGGGCCGACGAAACCGCCGATCCGGCGAAGTAGAGAATATCCGGCGGTTTCGCCGGAGCATTTTCCTGCCGGACTGGCGGTTTTGCCAAACCGGAGAATTGTGGCCTTCCCCATGCCTTCCTGGGTATCTCAACTTTCTCCGGCGGTTTCGCCGGTATGTGTGTCCCTGGCCTGAGTGAATATTCTGTAGAAACGTCAGTGTGGTAGTCAGGTAGACATTGGCAACGTCACACTTGTAGTACTGTACACGCGGTTGCTCAATCTTGAGTCTAGACTAAGCTAACTTGGAAAACAGCTAAGCAAAGCTTAAGCCTTAAACGCTTCCATTACTTACCATTATAATTTTGTTATGTGCTTGTGCTTAAGTGGAGGAATGCACATAGATTTTATCTTGTAAAACTGTTAACAAAACAAATACTCAACTGACTACGCCACTAGTGGGTAGTAGGATGTACTGTATGACTGACGCACTGACGTGACGAAGGCATAGGATGGCGGGAAACGTGGATGGGCGCAGCAATTTTTAGGGCAATTTTTCAAATTAAAGTATGAAAAAAATAATAAAAAAAACCTGATACTTGGGGGGGGGTCATGGGCCCTATCACGTTCACTCCCAGGTGGCACATATATGTGCCGGGTGAGGGGTTTCCACTGCTCACACACTTAACGGCAAAGAGTTTGCCAGTGCACGGCCAATCTGAGTATTACACAACTTGAAGTCCAAAGTTAAAAATTGCTAAAATTAGGTTTTTTTTTACCTTAACAATGAGTTATTTTTATACTTTTGAAAATATTTGTTGTCAATTTTACTTTTAGAGAATTTTTTTATGGCACATATATGTGCCATAAAAAAATTCGGGCTATAGCAATAAAAAGTATGGTTTTTATTGCTGAAGCCCAGCTGGCACATATATGTGCCACATATAAATGTTATGTTTTCTCAAAAAATAAAAGGCTGTTTGAATAAAACAAACATGATACAATCAAATTAGATTCTATTTACAGGAAAACATATCAAATGAATAAAAACCGCTACGCAAAATACTTACTTAAAAAAATTTTCTTACTTTAAATTACGTTACATTTCTTCCAGCAGTTTACAGGAAAAAAGGTGTCAAAGTGTTCAAAAATGAGGGGGAAAATGACTTTCTTACGCCGATTTACAACAAACTTCCTCAAAAGTCCATTCATCTGCTGTTCATTGTTCATGCCACGCTGTAAAACAGTCTGACATGCAAATTACGTTACATTTCTTCCAGCAGTTTACAGGAAAAAAGGTGTCAAAGTGTTCAAAAATGAGGGGGGAAATGACTTTCTTACGCCGATTTACAACAAACTTCCTCAAAAGTCCATTCATCTGCTGTTCATTGTTCATGCCACGCTGTAAAACAGTCTGGCATGCAAAGTCCAAAGCTCTTGTTGTCATCATCTTTGCAGTCACCACACACGTAAAACGTAGTTTTGCGTTTCTTCTCTGTTAGGCGACAATTGTGGCACCTAACTCTCTTCTCTAGCTTCTTAGGAAGGTGCTGCTGAACCATGCTGCTGCGTCTTGAGGGGCCAGTGCGAGGAGTGGGCAGAACCTGGAGGAAGCTCTCGATTACTGTGTCCCTATACTGGAGGTAGGTCATCTTTGAGTTTCGGCATACCTTTGAATGGATGAACTTACCATTCCAAAGGCAGGCGTCTAACAGATGGAAAAAAACTTTTACATACCATCTTAGACTTTTTCGCGGGGTTGAGTAGTAGCTGATCATCTGATCACTCCTATCAATACCACTCATTGATTTGTTATATGCAACTACCATGCTTGGTTTGTTTACTGGATTTCCCCTCCTATTTGTCACAACCTCAAACTCGGGCCCGTTAGTTGTTGATATTGTCAATACATTTCTTTTATCCCTCCACTTCATGATCGTTATGCCCCCTTTTTGTCTGCTGATACTTTCCCCCTTCTTTAACTTTTGCTGAATAACAGCTGCAGGATTGCCTTCTCGGTTTTGCTGGAGGGTTCCGCACATGTTGGTCTGTTTTCCATTAGACCTTCAGCAAGGGCAACACTGTTGTAGAAATTATCTAAAAAGAGTGAATGTCCTTTTCCAAGATAATTTTCCATCAGTCGCATGACAACCTCATATGTATGACCTTTGTCTTCATGTACGATTGTTCCTTTGCCTGTGTAAATCAATATGTTCAAAATAAACCCATCATGGGTGCACAGTTCATAAACTTTAATTCCATATTTATGTCTCTTGTTCTTTATGTACTGTCTAAAAGAAAGTCTCCCCCTCCACAGTATCATGGCCTCATCAAGAGACAGATTTTTGCCAGGGCTGAACAATTTAACAAAATTAGCTAAAACATGAGTAAGCACATTGTCAATTTTATGAAGCTTATGTTCAGTGGCATCACTATCAGCATCATAAAAACAAAGGCATTGCAAAATTACTTGAAAACGGTTCCTGCTCATTGTTTTCCAAAAATGGGGTGCTCATACAACGGCGATGTGGACCAGAAGTGACGAATAATTGGGAAATTTAAATTGCCCATAAGCATACAGAGCCCTAGAAACTTTTTCAGTTCTTCTGCATCCACAGGAAACCAGTTATTCAAGTTAGAGTGACGTGATAAGGGGTTTGCTCTAACCGAATCAGCACGTTTGTTGACCCAAAAACAAATTTTCTCAATAAGTTGGCTGTCAAATAAAGTACTAAACATTTCTAGGGGGTCAGTAGCTTCAGTGTGTACTTGTTCTTGGCCGACAAAATCGTGAATCTTGGGTAGATTACTAGTATTTGTCCACTGACCCTGTGTTTCTGCATATTCATTATGAATACTGTCCACAATGAACTGGACATTGGTGTCATTAGTAACAATATTATCATTAACAAATTCAACATTGGGATTATCAATTAATGGACTGTCTGGGTTAAGTACCAGAACAAAATTATTATCCGCTTCTGGGTTAGGCAACTGAGAATTAGGATTATCTGGATCGTTTGCATCGTTAGGCCTATGGCCAAGTAGGTATTCAACATTAAGATTATCAGTTACAGGACTGTTTAGGTTTTGTCCCAAGCCCAAGGTTAAATCAATTTCTTCTAGGTTAGGTGTAAGTCCATCACTGTTTTCACTATCTGAATCAGTATCATTAGAGTCATCTGAAGGGTTGTACTCACTTTCACCGTCGGAAGAAAACAAAGAACTAAGGTCAGAATCACTTCCCAACTCTCTGTCTATGTCGCTGCTGTCCTCCAGTATCTCATGTGGTCGTTTGGGCCGCTCCATACGTCGTCTTTTACGTCGTTCCATTACTACTTTTATGTTTCACAGCAGCACAGCACTAATATTCTGACTAAATCACTACCAGTAAATACTTTTAGGTTAGGACTTGATTTTAGGTTACATTTAACTGTAATCAACAGTTTATTTACATCAGCTGAAATATAAACAAAGCAGCAGTTGTAAAAGACAGGAGTACCAACATAACATTATTGTATTTCCCTAATAAAATGAAGTACCAAAAAACCGAGCAACACACAGGTGTGCCACACATCTCTATAGACCGTATACGAAGTTTCAGAGCTTTGGCGTAGCCCGTATTGAAATAAATAAACGAAGAGTTGGGCAGGGTCAGTGGCACATATATGTGCCACCGGGCTATTGTGAAATACCACACGGCACAATTGTGTGCCGCTTGGGCTATAATTATGGAAATTTGTTTGCATTGCGGGAGCGAACGTGCTATGGCCCTCTCTCTGGGACCGCCACTGTATGGTTTTATCTTCAAATGGCAGGCAGTAGAGAATATACATACAGTACTTCTAACAATGAGCTAAGTTCAAATTTGTAATGTTTTTACGGCAAATAAAGTTTGAGTTTGATGTGTTGGTACATAAGTGATTCTCATAGTAGTCTACTGACATTGCTTGGACTTCTGGTCCTTTTCCACAGAATTTGGCCAACTCATCAATGCCTTCCTCTTGTATCACTGTAGAGTCCACATCAAAACACACAGCATCTGCCTCCCTCCATATGGATATAACTTCTTCCATATTTCTGTAACAAATACAACCCAGAAGTTTTAACTCACTTATGTTAAGGATCTGTAGGAGAGATATAAAAGTAACACCAAGGTGTTTAGGTCCATTGATTATTTCCATAATTTAATAAGTTTAAACCTTGTATAATCAGATAAAATATTGGTTTCAAGACTATTGTTTTCCCCATGGTGTTACTGTTACAATCATATAAACCTGCCTTTATTTGAATGAAATCTCAAACCATCATGATCAGACCATCATGATGAGAACAGGGTTTTATGGGGTAAAATTAAACCACGTGAATAGATAAAATGCCCCGCCACAGCAAACATTCAGACTAAGCAAATTTCCATTTGCCTGACTGGATTTTCACTTAAATCAGTTTAAATAATGTTAGGTTTAATGAGTACATAGGTTTGCTACTACAGGGAGGGTAATAAAGTTTTTTTTTTAGTAAAATATTAATAGCTCAGTATTAAATAAATAAATTTGCCAAGTTTGATAAAAACATATCCATTTATTGTGCTAACGAACACATAAATAAATATACAGGGTAAAGTCTTAGGACGACTTTAAAACAAAAAGAGATATCACAACCAAATTGGGCATATCACTACTGGTAATAGTAAGCTACATTTTTACTTTCTCCCCCTATACCATAGTATATGGAGAAAGTATTACTTTCGTCAACATTTTCGAGTTTAAGTGGATATATCCGTTTTGGGTCCCACTGGACCCAAAAAAATGGATTTCGAAGTGATGTCCGTGTGTGTGTGTGTCTGTAGTCACCGAATAGTGGTATCCTTCACCGGCACACGGCCGTACTGTGGCACCTTGAAAAATTGTGGCATCTTTTTCAGGGTGCCACAACTAATTCGATCATTTTTGGGGTATCCAGCATTATAACATCGTTTAAACATCACATGCTACAATTGAGTATTTTTCATCTCGTAGATGTGTGTTTAAGTAGCGCAGGCACACGCCGAATTTTGGAACACGAAACCATGCCAGCAGCTAGCGCGCCCTGCGTCGTCCACCGGAACTACAACTTCCTTAATGCTGGGTTGCCAATTCTCGCACCAGCCTTAAGAACAGTTTTTTTTCCCTAGGGAGAGGAGGAAAAATGCTTTTAAACACACAGGTAACCAGCCTGTAGTGTGAGACTACTGAATTTATCACAGACTACTCACTAAAAAACCCCATCTACTCTGTTGGACACAGACCTGGAATTGTTTATCACATTACTTCAAGTCAGGCCAACATGTGACCTAAGCCCTCAAGGCTCTCACCGTTTCTGGCATTTAGATTCTTTATGACATACACTGCATCTCGGTCAAGGTCGAGCTTCTTGGCGTGGAGAATACCCTGGATAATGTGACACACAGGTCCAATTGTCCTCACCCTCCGTCATCATCGGTATGACCGTGTCCACCGACAGCAGTCATACTAACTGTTGAGCCTCCAGGCGGGACCTTTCCCAACTCATCGGGAGTGCCTGGGCATTAGGATGCAATCGGGTGACACGGCTTTGCCCATCCTGAACAGGTACGACCAATAAAAGCCGTGACCGTCAGAAATTGGGTGAGGTAGAAGTCCACCTCTCCGTACCGCCGATTTACCCAAGGTTGGACTTGCTGTATCAGTCGCCTGGTCCAGCGTCCCCATGTCTCCTGTTCCCAGCTCTCCAGCCACAGCTGGTAGGTGCGGGTGCGTTACCTGGTAAAACACCTACTTTGCTTAAGCACCTTATTGGCTATCATTCCGAAAGTAGGAATTATGGGTTAACTGTTGCCGTTGTAGTGAAAAGGGCAGCAGTGTCTCTGACAGACGCAACACATATCCGTGCTCCAGCTGATGTTCCTGTTAATACTTCACAATCTATGGAGTGTCTGTGCATTGCTCTTATCCTCATCCTCGATCTGTTCATGAGGGAGTCTTTGGTGCTTTAGTTTTTTTATCAGTATCACTAAAGCATTATCCTTTAAAATTAATTTGTGTGATGGAAGCTCCAAAACGGTGACTATTAAAACATTCAGTTGGATACTGATTCTGAACACTATCATCATCAGTAGCAGCACTGTCAATACTGTTTTTAACTTTGGAACTATCAGGCATTTGATAAATTATTTCATTGTTGATCGACAGACAGTCCTCATTCGTATGGTCCTAGAATGGATTTATTCACTGTATCTAAGGATAACAATATACGTCAATGTCACCATATATTTCCTGAATTACTGACCCATTTCCACCAAGATCATTGTGAACAGGTAAAGACTCGTCACCAAGCTTCTGGAGGAAATTAACAAAGTCCACTTCTACTTGTACAGCACGAATGTTTGTTATCTATATATTAAAAAATATCGGTTTTTCTTTTCCGAGTCCGTCAGCCTCTTCTACCAGACCGAGTTTCATGATTTTGGTCTTAAATTAAAGGTATGCACGCGTAGATTTGCCATCAAGCATCGGCATTCATTTATCTGACGTATTAATCGAGTTATGCACAAACGTAATTTGCTCCCTATAGGCTACATTCCTTAAGGCCCGTTCACACGGGGCGAGTTTACAAGCTACACGCCAGCGTGTAAGAAGCCGGCGAGTTGGCGAGTGTGCTTTTATTCGTTCACACAGAGCTTGTCCACTCGCCAACTCGCAGACGTGTAGAAAGACGCCAGCGAGTCGGCGAGTGCGCTTGTAGTCGTTCACACGATGCTTTTTCCACTCGCTCAGTAGCTGGCTTGAACCAAATCCTCCAACATCTTTGAGAAACAAGCGCACAAGCACAAGCAACTGTGTTCACACTGGGCTACTTTACACGCCTACTCGCGCAAAAGCTGGCGAGTTGGCGTGTAAAGTAGCGGCACCGTCAACTTTTTCCAGAGCTTTTTTACAAGCAGCTTTTGAGCGAGTACGTCATTCACACTGAGCTATTTTACTAGCTGCGTGTAAAAAAGCCGGCGTGTAGCTTGTAAACTCGCCCCGTGTGAACGGGGCTTTATGGGAGATAAATTTGGTTTTTCTTTTCCGAGTCCGTTCGGCTCTTCTACCCGACCGATTTTCATAATTTTGGTCTTAAATTGAAGGTATGCACGCGTAGATTTGCCATCAAGCATCAGCATTCATTTATCTACAGTATTACTTGACCAAAAAACATAAATTAGATTTTTTTAAAATTGTTATTTCAATTGAAGATATATTTTCTAAGTTATTATTACGTAATCCTATATGTTTTGGTCTAAGAACCTTCAGTGAAATACCAGCTTTCATTTGAGCCCTTGATTATTAAGATCGGATGTACCTGAAGCGCGATGCTGAATTCCAAACAATAAAAAATGTAATTATTGTTGTTTGTGTAATTATTGTTGTGTTTGTGTTGTTGTGGGGTAAATTTTGAGATTTACCGACGACCAGTGAGTTCGTTTGGCTCTTCTACCCGACCGATTTTAATGATTGAGGTCTCAAATTGAAGGAATGCACGCACAGATTTGCCATCAAGCATCGGCATATATTTATCTATAATCCCACTCTGCTTATACGTAAACGAAATTTGCTCCCCGTGTATTTCTTAAGGGAGTTAAATTTGGTTTTTCTTTGCCGAGTTCGTTTGACGCTTCTACCCGACCTATTTTCTTGATAGAGGTCTCAAATTGAAGGTATGCACGCACAGATTTGCCATCAAGCATCGGCATATATTTATCTATAATCCCACTCTGCTTATACGTAAACAAAATTTGTTCCCAATGTATTTCTTATGGGAGTTAAATTTGGCTTTTCTTTGCCGAGTTCGATTGGCTCTTCTACCCGACCGATTTTTATGATTTAGGTCTCAAATTGAAGGTATGCACGCACGGATTTCACATCAAGCATCGGCATATATTTATACCCAGTCGGCTTATACGTAAACGAAATTTGCTCCCCATGCATTTATTATGGGATTTAAATTTGGTTTTTCTTTTCCGAGTTCGTTTGGCTCTTCTACCCGACAGATTTTCATGATTTAGGTCTTAAATTGAAGTCATGCACGTAAAGATTTCACATCAAACATCGACATATATTAACATACTGTATTATTTGACCAAAAACATAATTCCTTCAGTGAAAAAACTGATTTCATTTAAGCTATTAGTTATTCAAATCGGACGAGTTTCAAGCAAACACAAGAAGAACAACCAATATAAAAATTATTACTGTAAGGTTTTTCTATGACAAAAACTCAATATCTCCAGTATTGTTCATGTTTTTTTTTTAATATGTTTTAGACTCAAAATAATCAGTAAATTGTAAGCTTTGATTTGAGCTATTGATCGTGTGTGAATCAGTATCAAGATACTGTATTACTTAATCAAAAATCTTAAATTTTATTCTTTCTCGAATACTATAGGGCCTATTTATTTTAACGCTGCGGAGCAGCATGGGTCCTCTAGTTATTTTGAATTTCTTTATGCTTGACCACAGCGTGAATGATTTTACAGTTTTCTACAATATGGGTCACGATGAATGTGGAAGAACTTGCAGCGTTTGTTAAAAGTCACTGCAAAGTTAAATTTATTCCCCCGCCCAAAAACTTGTCATAGACATTGAAGCTGTAGATTCCAAGCATGGTACTCTCATCTAAATGAGCTTTGGAGCTGACTATGGCAAAGGCCGAATAATTCAATTGACCAATGTTATCCAAATAATTTCAGGATCTAAGTCTCGTTGCCCTTTTTCAGATTGAGAATCTCCAATTAATTCCTGGAACCATGGTGAATTCTACAAATGAGGTAAACAAAGCTTTCCCTTATAGCAACAAAGAGTAAAAAATTGAACTGTAAACATTTAACTTTCATTTGTGTGAGGTCGGATGTAGCACCATGACGGTTTAGTACTGCTGCTCTGTAACTGTCAAATGTTCCATTGGGAGGGCATTGTGGCTACTCGCAGTTCTTCGTCTTATATGTGGTATTTAATTTTCAATTTAAATAAATCACAAACAGGAAATGACACTGCAAAGAAATGTCACCATACACATTGTAA